TGGGCCTGTCTCACTGGGCCGGACTAACTGGGCCTGTCTCACTGGGCCGGACTGACTGGGCCGGTCTCACTGGGCCTGTCTCACTGGGCCGGTCTCACTGGGCCTGTCTAAGTGGGCCGGTCAAACTGGGCTGCCTTAAATTACCGAAAATCTGTTAGTTCTGTTTCAGAGACTCTAACACACACTAACAGTGAAGCAAAGTACTACAGATGTTGGAATTCTGAAATAAAACAGTTGTGTTCTAAATAGGAGAAATACTAGACTCTTAACTCTGTTTCTCTCTCCATAGATGCTGCCAGACCTGCTGAGTTTCTCCAGAACTTTTTATTCTTTTTTATTTCTAAAATTGAACATGAAAAGGATTTACAAACGCGATTTCCAGTTTGAACGAAATCCCCAAGTGGTCTCTGTCTCACTCAGACGCTGTCTCCCTCACTATGTTCCTTGCTGCAAGAGTTAGTAATAACACAGGTTTCTGAAAGAGAAGACAAGGCATTACATCAGATGGACCTTTCATTGGGCTGTTATTGGACCCAAAGATGTGATTAACAAACCCACAGGCAACATAAGGCACCCAGGCTGGAGGAAGAACTGGAAAGTCCTCAGAATATTTAGGAGAGGCTCAACATAATTCAAGCACCATGACTGCTCTGATCCTGAGGTCAAGTGGGAGGTTCTCCCAGCAACATTGTCCTGATGTGTTGATTTGACAATGTATAATTGTCACCCCTGACTCCCCAGAGCCTGGCTACCATCTACAAGGCACAAGTTAGGAGTGTGATGGAATACTCCCCACTTGCCCTGGATGGGTGCAGCTCCAACAACATTCTGGATGCTTGACATCATCCAGGACAAAGCAACCCACTTGATTGGCACCACATCCTGTGGATGCTCAGTTACTGAGAATATTCAACGCAGAGATGTTGGCCATAAATTGCACAGATGATTTGAACTAGGGACATTTAAGCGACTCTTGGATAAGCACATGGATGATAGTAAAAAGAAGGGTATGCAGGTTAGTTTGATCTTAGAGTAGGATATTAGGTCAGCACAACATCGTGGGCCGAAGGGCCTATACTGTGCTGAAGTGTTCTATGGTCTATCCACAGGTATCCACTCCCTCCACCACCGACGCTCAGCAGCAGCAGTGTGCACTATCTACAAGATGCACTGCAGAAATTCACAAAAGATCCTCAGGCAGCACTTTCCAAACCATTGACCCCTTACATCTGGAAGGAAGAGGGCAGCAGACACATGGGAACACCACCATCTGCGAGTTCCCCTCCAAGCCACGCACCATCCTGACTTGGAAATATATCACCGTTCCTTCACTATCACTGGGTCAACATCATGGGATTCCTTGCTTAATGGCATTGTGGGTCTACCCACAGCAGGAGGACTGCAGCCGTTCAAGAAGACAGCTCTACACCACCTTCTCAATGGCAGCTAGGGATGGGCAATAAAAGTTGGTCCAGCCAGCAACGCCCACATTTCACAAGTAAATTTTATAAAGTGTTAAGGTTCAAACGCAGAGTCAGGAGTGGGAGGGACTCAGGAATTGAATCTAGTCCTCAATATGTTATTTTGATGTGCAAAATGTAACTGCTTCTTCATTATTTTCAGATTTCCAGAACCCATTTTTCAACACATCGCCGAATGGTACCCAAATCTCACCCGTGTTAATCGTAAACAGCCCAACAGTTACTGTGCCCTGCCCAGTGTCTATCCCGTATCTCAATGTCACACTGCGATTGGTGAGTCACTTTACTGGCATGTATTTACCACCGGAATTTATTTTTACGGTTTTCATCCAATTGTTACTTGCATTTGTATAGCACCTGTGATGTCATGAACACACCCAAGGCATTTCATCGGAGCGTATTGAAAACAATACTTAGACACACATCGTAGGAAAGATAATGGAATCCTGTTTCAAAGGTTTAGGACTGAAATCATTTTGGACTGAGATTGGGAGAAATTCCTTCACTCAGAGATGTGAATCTTTGGAATTCCTTACACCAGAGAGCTGTGGATGCTCAGTTATTGGGAATGTTCAACACAGAGATGTTGGCCACAACTTACACAGATGATTTGAACTATGGAATTGGAAGTAAACTTCAAACTTCGAAATCATATGAAATCATTTGAAATCATTTGGCATAATTAATAAAGAGTGGGTCTCACTGCAGTACAGGAGGGTAATGATGACAAATGCCTTTTACACTGAGCCTTTTGTTGACCTGATGAGGAGTTTGTTATCAAACACTTGCTGCAGTGGTTTGTAAAAGGCTAAGCTGGCGTAGGTGATCCAATGCTGGTCCAGTGAAAGAGGTGCTGCCAAATTATGGGAGGTGCTGAGATAGTCCAAGCTTCCACTTCAATAAATATGAGAGGTGGACTGTTCTGAATACCAGGCACGGGATGATATGAGTTTTATTTTGACAACATTCAAGAACATGCAGATTTTCTTCTATGTATCACAGAATTATTACAGTGCAGGAGGAGGCTATTTGGCCCATCATGTCTGTGCCAGCTCTCCAAATGAGCATCGATTTTTTTGCTATTGTCCTGCCTACTTCTCGTAACCCTATATATGCTTCCTTTTCAAGTAACCATTTAATTCCCATCTAATAACTTGACTGAACGTGCCTCACTACACTCTCAGATTCTGCACTCCAGATCCTAATGACTCAAGCTATTTTCCTCAGGTCACTTTGCTTCTTTTCTAATTATTTTTTACATGTGCCTGAAATAACTCCACAGAGACCGCTTTCCCATCACGAAGTCACCCTTTATTTACATGTTGGGAGTCCTTGACACTGATCCAGCTTCCTCAGAGCCAGCTCTCAGAGTGAGCAGAAACTCTAACACTCCAATTTATGTCTGTTGGCCAGGACTCCCTAATTGGAGCAGATTAACAGCCCCTATTAGGGTGTTTCATATTCTGTGAAGTCCACCTGGCTGACCTCATTACAATCACTATAATGCCATCTTAGTCTTGATTCCTTCAAGGGTAGGGGGGACATTTTTTCCCCATTTACTCTGTCCAGACCGCTCATGAATCTGAATACTTCAACTGGATATGCTGTCCGTCTTCTCTTCTCCAACAAAGACAGTTGTAAAGTCTCCAATCTATCTTCATGACTGAAATTCCTCATTCCTGGAACCAGCCTTGTAAACTCCCTCTGCTTCCTCCCTTATGCTTTCACATCAGCCCAAAAATGCAATACCCAGAACTGGAAGCAATATTCCATCTGAGGCTAATGTAATGTCCAGTACTTGTTCCTAGCATGTAGAATTGATGTTATTGAGTGTGGCTTGCAAATCTTGTGAAGAGTAGGCAAGGCCACTGCTGCCACCCCCAGTTGAGATCATTAATGCCTATAGCAATTAGTTTACTTTTGGCATGGAGACAACTGAGGTGGTATCTAGGTGGTATTTAATATTCAGAAGAGACAACAGTTACTCTTTGATGAGGTCCCACTATTCTTCAAGCCTGTCACCAAAGGTTCCTTAGACAGCAACTTCCAACTCCACTACAATCTGGAAGGACAAGGGCAGCATACACCACCACCTGCAAGTTCCCCTCAAAGCCACTCACTATCCTTTGCATGCTGCAATAATCGGCATATCATTAGATCCCTCAAACTTTCCATCCCCTCTTGTCCTTCATTCTCCAGATTTGCCTTTGGGTGTCAGCCTTGAGCTATTGTATTAGTGTGTTCTTGACTTGTGACCTTGGGGTGTTCTGCCAGGCAATGAGGGCTGCTTATTTTATTCTAGGGGGTAACATATTTCTGCACCATTTATGCCGAACTATTTCTGTTGACAAGTCTCAAACCAATTAGTCTTGCATGGGTGTCAAGTACAATTCACTTACTTTGTCCTCTGGGGACAAAGTAAATGTTACAGAGATACAAGGCACCCTAACTTAAAGTTAGGGTTTGTATTACTGAAAACCACAACTTTAAGTGAACAAACTTTACATGAATCATTCATTTCTATAAGAATAAGTGTCATAACTGGATGTAGGCTCTGTAGGGACTTCCTTAGCAATAAAGAAGTTAAATATTATAGTTGTAAGTGCTGGGTTGCAAAAAAATACTTTAAGTACCCAATTCCTACATTGGTAAACTAAATAAATGTTAAAATAAAATAATTTTGAAAATTAACATTCTACTTACAGTACTTTCCATAGTTATGTAAAGGGTCACATATTTGTCCCTTTTAGAATATAAACTGGAATGCAGTTGCACATTGCTATTTAACTGAAATACCAGGCAAGTTTTGCCATCTGGAAATTTAAGTGGTGAACATTTTTAGCTGTGCAAGACAATGTTGCTTTTGAAGCAGTGAGACTGACACATTGTCGAGTCAAAGTTGAGGGAAGATAGCCTAAAGACAGCCGTTAGATTGGTCCAGCTGTAACTTATTACAAATCTGTAAACACAGAGCAGTCAGAAGGGCTCATGTGGTGTAGTGGCACTGGCCCTACCTCTGAACCAGGAGGCCCGGGTTTAAGTCCCACCTACTCTGATGTCATAACACAATGGAACAAATTGATTTAAAAATATCTAAAATATGTTCATAGTGCAGTCAGACATCCCGAGCCAGCAAACTGAAAACATCTCTTTCTTCACCCTTTCCCCCCCCCCCCACCCCCCCCAACTTCTCCTGCTGTGAGTACAACAAGGAAAATTAAAAGAAAGATACCAAAAAAGGAAAGACCTAGGTCCATCAAATCAGTGTGAAGAACAATCTTACAGACAACATTGTGTCATCATTACTAAAGTCAGGAGGAACTGTGAGAGACTATCTGACACATCCTTGCAATCTGGAACTTTTAATCCTCAGAATTTGGTTCCCTGACCGTATGTTTTACACCCATCATATGTGTCAAACTGTCTGTCTTATGTCTGTCTTCATTCTGAATGAGTACACGAGGAGCTTGAGTTTTTAAAGGGTAGAGTTTAAATTGTATAGCTGTCGATCAGTAATCTTGTTCTCTATTGTTTAAGTTAAATGTGTTACAATAAATTGAATCATGTCCCGCTATTGATAAGACCTGATGTTAATTTCTTTTGTCATGAATAGCAGTCAGACAGGCAAGCTGTCATCTTGGTGGTCAATTTGAATTTTTATACTTTTTATTCATTCATGGGATGTGGACATCGCTGGCTGGAATGACAATTATCGCCCATCCCTAGCTGCCCTTGAGAAGGTGGTGGTGAGCTGCCTTCTTGAACCACTACAGATAATGTGCAGTAGGAACATTCACATTACTTTAAGAAGGGAGTTGCAGGAAGGAATGGTAAAATGTTTCCAAGCCAGGATGGTGAGGAGGGGAACTTGCAGGTGGAGATGTTCCTAAGTATATGCTGCCCTTGTTCTTCTAGATTGTAGTGGGTTTGAAAGTTGCGACCTAAGGAACCTTTGGTAATGCACATGTGATGGGCTGGGCATTTTTCTTAGTTAAGTCATGACAGTGGACCCTCCATGCATGAAGGCGGAGGGCCTGTGCCTGGGGTCTGTGCCAGCATGCTTTTACCTGTGGGTTTCAAGCTGCCTGATGAAGCCATCCCATGTTCCTGGCCACTGCCTGATGGCGCCCCTAGGATCAGATTGGGCAGCTACTCTGTCGGGCTTCTCCTCTTGGCTGAATGCATGATAGAATCATAGAATCCCTACAGTGTGGAAACAGGCCCTTCGGCCCAACCAGTCCACACTGAACCTCAAAGCATCCCACCCAGACCCACCCCGCTATAACCCACCTAATCTATACATCCCCGAACACTACAGGCTATTTAGAGTGGCCAATCCACCTAGCCTGCACATCTTTGGACTGTGGGAGGAAACCAGAGCACCCAGAGGAAACCCATGCAGACACAGGGAGAATATGCAAACTTCACACAGACAGTTGCCCGAGGGTGGAATCGAACCCGGGTCCCTGGCGCTGTGAGGCAGCAATGCTAACCATTGTGCCACCATGCCATGATCTTGGCTTTTCTTTCTCTGGGATACATCCATCAAACATACATTACTGCAGAGGCTGTCAATAGACACTAATCCCAGGCCTGTCCCTGACAAGCTCTTTCTTTACTCTGACCAAATCTCTGTAACATCATCACAGTGGGTGGTGCTTGCTGCAGTCAAACAAATATTAATCCTTCTGGACTCATATACAACCATCACCGCCAAAGTCTTTTTTCTCTCATAATTATTATATTGTTATATATTTTTAAAATATTTACATTTACCACTACCCCATCTACACCCAAATCTTTGACTTTACAAATTGAGGTGATCTGGAGGTTTCAGTGTACTCCCCAAACTTTTTTTAGCAATTTTTCTGAAGAAAGGGTCTGAAGAAGGGTCCCGACCTGAAACGTCAACTTTCCTGCTCCTCTGATGCTGCCTGGCCTGCTGTGCTCCTCCAGCTCCACACTGTGTGTTATCTCTACTCCCCAAACTTGCGGTCTTTGGATTTGGAAGAATGACCATTTGTTAAGTTATTGACTTGAACTGTCTTCTCGAGGCTCTGTGGTCTATAAGTGTCTCTTGAATTAGATTTCTTCATGGAGGACTTTGTTGATATCTTTCTATTCTATGAAGCTGTCAGTGTAGTCCCTGCTGTAGCAGGAAGTTTTTATTCTTTACAATATCTTGGATCTTTGCTTCTTCTTAGTGGTGTCTTCTGTGGAATTACAAGTACAACATCTTCAATTTTGTGTGAATGGCATTTTTTTTATTTCCCCCTTTAGATCTATGTTGAAATAGGTATCCTAATTAATTCAATTCTTTGGATATTTTGCGATTTCTCTTTCTCTCTTAGTGATTGAATTAATAGCAAAGCCAGCTTGTTCATCTCCACAATTGTGTTACCTGAAGGTGTATTCTTGAGGTTCACTCTTGCTCAATGTGACACCCTTTACTCTGTTGTTGAGGGTTCTTCAATGGAAGGTAGAGGTGGGATATTTTGTTTGATGTTTCCTTTCCCAATCACCTCAGCCCCTGGTGGCAGACTTTAGTTTGGAGTAGATAGTCATTCACTATGCTGTCTGGCAATCTGACTTTATTCAATTCTAACAGCAGGAGGAAAACATTTCAGCCAAACCACTACGGTCACAGATTTCCATTCCTATGGGTGCTCTGGTTTCCTCCCACAGTCCAAAGATGTGCAAGTTAGGTGGATTAGCCATGGGAAATTGCCCATAGTGTCTAAGGTGGGAAATGTAGGGGGTGGGTCCGGGTGGGATGCTCTTCGGAGGGTCTGTGTGGACTCGATGGGGCAAATGGCCTGCTCCCATGCTGTAGGGATTCTATGCTTCTACGCTTTAAAATATGAAACAAATTCCTTACTCCAAAGTAAATAACTTCAGGCGATTCTACTTCTTGTTTAGGTTTTGCTACAAGCATGCAGAAGCCATCAAAACATTCTTATGTTTTCTTCTTTACCCTTTTGTTGTTTAATCTTCTATCTTTTGAATAAGATTGAGACCAATACACACCCTTCTACTCAGGGGTGAGAGTTCTTGATTTTGAAGTGCTGGTAGGTTTTCAAGTATTTGTTGTTCTCTATGTTGGATACTTGTTCATAGCATACTTTAGTGTTACATGCAATGTCCCCTCCACCATGTAGCTGCACCTCTGTCAGCTGTGAGCAATATTTTTTCAGCGAAGACTTTTTGAAGGAGACCTCCTTCCTCACAATTGAAAAGCTGGGCACTGTTCACGCTTGTGAGATTTCTTCTCTCCATAGCATTAACAGATACTTTTATTATCTGCAGTACCAATTCCATCAGCTAATCTGGTAGGTCTTTCATGGTTCTGAACCTTAAGAAATGAATGTAGATCACTTGTGCCAAGATAGTCAGAGGCTTTTTCCCAGGATGGAAAGGTGAACTAGTAAAGGGCGCAGGTTCAAGGTGGGAGGGGGAAGATTAATGGAGAAGTGCAGGGAAAATTTTTCACACAAAGGGTGGTGGGTGCCTGGAACACACTGTCAGTGGAGGTGGTAAAAGCAGGCAGATTTGCAACATTTAAGGCATATCTTGATAAAACATGAATGTGAGGCAAACAGAGGGATAGATACCATGCATGGGCTATAAGTAGTGTATATTTCCTCATTCAGCTTCTATCTTACTTTCCAGTTTGGAAGCTATTCTTCACTTCCAGAATTTTTCTCTCCAGGATGTCCAAGTTACTATTCTATATGGCCTATCTCCGATATTAAACTTCCCAGCAATGCTATTTCTAATGCCATAGCCACCTCATGTGATTGGGTATTTTAAATTCCTTCAATATGTTTTATGATAGCTGCCCAGTGCTTTGATGCTGAAAGGCAGGTTTCCCCACATTTTGGAACCTCGCTATGATCTTTGCTGCTTTCTCTTCACTTCCTAAAAAAACGATCATGGAGCAAAATTAAATACTCCCTTAAATTACCCAATGCTTCTCTGCTTTAAGGGTCTTGTCTTATGATTTTCCCAGCTCTCCACTCCTGGAATATATGAGTTCTGTTTTATGGCTTTCTTAGTTTTGCAGTTTTTTTGGCCCTTCCTCAAAGTATCCGCATGAAATGACCGCAATGCCTGATTGGAGCTGCAATGTTTCATATAATTACTGTTCTTTCAGCCTGAATTACTGTGTATTTTAACATTTCCCTTGCTGTAAAGAGATTGTTTGTTTGATACACACGACTCTCGATGTCCTGTCAGCTCACTGGCTCAACTTGGACTCAGAACTAATTACTCACTACCTCTTGTTGTAGCCTGTACCTTCTGTCTTAGAGCTACAGATTTCTCTGTTTGTGCATATCTTCTGTCGGGCCTGAAATGGTTTCTGTGTCATTCTCTGAAATATTCTTCTGTGTTACCATGAGTTTAAAGGATTTGTTGTCATCACTAGTATCTGTTTTTTGGGTCACTGCGGTGTGTGTATATGTGGATTTATTCAAGCAAAGTGAGTTTTTTCCTTTATTCATTCACGGGATGAGGGCATCACTGGCTAGGCAGCATTTATTGCCCATCCCTAATTTTCCCAGAAGGCAGTTGTGAGTCAGTCACATTGCTGTGGGTCTGGAGTCACATGTAGGCCAGACCAGGTAAGGATAGCAGTTTCCTTCCCTAAAGGACATTAGTGAACCAGATGGGTTTTTCCAACAATCAGCAATGGATTCACAGTCATCATTATATTCTTATTTCCAGATATTTATTGAATTCAAATTCCACTATCTGCCATAGCAGGATTCGAACCCAGATCCCCAGGACATTACCTGCATCTCTGGATTAACAGTCCAGCAATAATACCACTAGGCCATTGCCTCCCCATTGAGATTGGATGAGGACATCCATTTTTCTGGTCTAACTCAAAGAGTCTTGTTGAGTAACCAATAGGATGGTTATTGCATTACTACAACATTTCCAGGTTACATGAGTCTGATCTACATTACTACAGAGACTGTTAGAGCACATTAGGCTCAGGTCTGTCTCTCACAAACTACTTCTTTACTGTGACCAAGTCCCATGAGAAAATCACAATGGGCAGAGGTTACTGCACTCAATCAAGTATTAACCCTTTCAGACCCTTTCAAACCCAAATGTAACATTGATTATCTCAGTCTATACTCTCTGTGTAATCCCTGATCTTTTTTCCACTCAGAAATCCCTCCAGATACAATTCTAAAGGATTTAAGTGGCACAGCGTAAAAAGAAGTCTTTTCTAAATATTTTACCCATTTGGGCTGGTGAATGTGAGTTGGGGAATGTGAAATCGTTTCAACTTATGGTTGGACCAGAATTTTGATTTGTATTGTTCCTTTGAAACTGATCTTTCTGCTAATAGATTAGAATATAAGATGTAGCAACATAAACCATTTGGTTCCTTCATGTTTGCTCCATAACCTAATAAGATCTAACTGAACTGACCCAGTTCCCGCATCAATCCATCTCATCGACTTTCTTTTGATCACAATTTGCTAGGGTCTTACATCAAGGACACTTTATCCCAATGGTAAAGACGTGATATGGAATAATAAAGAGGGAATGATTGTCTTACGACACAAAATTGAAGACTTACTATATGTTTCCTGCGAAACTGTTGTCGGTGGCACACTGTATAAAACATCACCCTTCTTCATCCAGGTCACAGGTAAGATGCTTATTTCTCAGCTGTTTCCGTCAGGGTTACAGTTTTACAATCTTATGCACAGAAGCCAGTAGCTTGTCAAGATCAAACACTGGAATTCATTTCTAGAGGCATAGAATTGAAAACCATGGAAGGTATGATAAACCTGAATCAAAACTTTGTTAAGCACCCTGGTGTACTGTGAACTGTTCTAGTCTCTATATTAAAAATCAGAAAGGCAATGGAGAGGGTGATGAACTTTTGGAATAACATTAGTCTTGGGAGGTTATATCTCTGGGAAAAGATTGAAGTGTGGTTCCTTTCTTAAGAGGATAGAAGACCAAGGGTTGATTTAATTGAAGTCTTTGAGTTTATGAAAGAGTTTCATAGCGATGAGGTAAAAAAAGACATTTCCACTTGTGAAGGAGAATATAACTATAGGGTATAACCCTGAGATAGTCACTGATAAATCCAGGAGGGACTTCTTTGTTGAGAAAGTGATGAAAAATTGGAACTGGCTAACACAGAGAGAGTGCTATGATCTGAACTAATGGTAATACTGGACAAGTCAGATCCTAGAATGAAACCTGGCTTGATAGATTAAATATTTAAATTGTTACCTGGCTAATAATTAGTCATTGAAACATATTTGCACCAGACCGTAAATGTTCTTTAACAAGCGTATGCCGAGAAGGAAAAGTAAACAAAGCTTTCTCTATATATATATACATATATATGTTAACACAACGGTTGAATCAGAGCTTCAACCTGTTTTCCAACACCATCCATTACAAAGACCCAGTCATATGGAAACATCTCAACTTTTTTTAAATCTTTACTTAAGTGACGCTCCCCAATTTCTTTCCCCTGCATTGTCAAGACCGTGTTTTTCCAATTTTTTTCTGGGTCTGGAAGCCTGAACATATCACAATTCTGATGGACTTTTTCGGTTTTAATATCTTGAAGATTTACGTCCAAATTCTCCTGGCCTGAAGCTCCAGTAAAAACTACCTGCTGAAGTGACTGGTTCCTCTGAACTGAATTTATTCTCCTGTCAGAAGAAACAATCCTCCGAACTGGATTCAGGTCTCTTCCGCACCTAAACTTTGAAATTCTATTCTGAAGTCAGAATTAAACTGATTGCTGTGGTGTGTTTATTCCATCTGTCATGAGGCCAAGAGTATAAATATTTTATCAGTTAAAAATACAGGAGTTCTCCCAGAAACTCTGATGCAACCACATGATCTCGTGGAAGTTTAAGTCACTGTGAATTGACTCTGACTTAATCCACCTCCTTGAAATCCAAATCCAACAATATATTATGTGTGTATTATATCCCTTTATACAAGAGGTTGAGATGAATGGTTTTGATACTTAAGGAAAAGTTGATTAGTGAGTGAGAAGGGAAGAGAAGGACTTGTTGAGAGTTAGATAAAGTAGAATGGAAGGAGGCTCATGTAAAGGCTAAAGACCAATATGGACTACTTCTGTGCAGTAATACTTTAAAAAAAGTAGTTGAAAGTTTCAAATCTGGGATTGATAAACTTTGATAAGGAAGATTAAATGGAGTAAAAATAACTTCACCTTGATTAGCAGAACAGGTGAGAGGAGTTGTTAGTCCTCCTCCTATTCCTAAAAAAAATTCTCATCTCATAGAATCCCTACAATGTGGAAACAGGCCCTTCGGCCCAACAAGTCCACACCGAACCGCAGAGCATCCCACCCAGACCCATTCCCCTATAACCCACCTAAGCTACACATCCCTGATCACTACGGGCAATTCATCATGGCCAATCCACCTAGCCTGCACATCTTTGGACTGTGGGAGGAAACCGGAGCACCTGGAGGAAATCTACGCAGACACTGGGTGAATGTGCAAACTCCACACAGACAGTTGCCTGAGGGTGGAATCAAACCCCAGTCCCTGGTGCTGTGAGGCAGCAGTGCTAACCACTGAGCCACTATGCCGCCCCTAATAGATTCATGGTGACTATTAGACTCTTAATTTCAGATATTTATTGAATTCAAATTCCACCATCTGCTTAGGCAGGATTTGAACCTATGTCCCCAGAACATTACCTGGGTCTCTGGATTAACAGTCCAGTGATAATACCACTAGGTCATTCCCTGTCCTCAAATGAAAGTTAATATGCATGAGTGGAATTTCCGGCCACTCTGACCTGGATTCCTGAAACAGGAAGAGTGACATTTTAGGGGTGTTCATGCTGTGTTAGTCCAGAAGACCATAAGACATAGTATGCCATTCAGCCCATCACGTCTGCTCCACCACGCAATGAAACTTTGAATGATCTGATGATCCTGAACTCCACTTTCCTGCCTTATCCCCACACTGACTTATTGATTAGAAATCTCAGCCTTAAATATCCTTTAAAACCTAGCTTCTATTGCCCTTTCTGACAAAGAATTCCACAGATATATGAGCCTCGGAGAGGATAAATTCCTCCTCATCTCTGTCTTAAATGGATGACCCCTTACTCTGTGATTATGCCCTCTGGTCCTCGACTCTCCTACAAAAGGAAACGGCCTCTCAGCACCCACCACATCAAGCCCTTCAAGAATCTTCTTCTAAACTCCCAAGGAGTACAGGCTGAAGTTACTCAACCTTTCCTCATAAGAAAATCCTTCCATACCTGGGAGCAACCCAGTGAACCTGTCCTGGACTGCTTCCAATGCTAACATAGCTTTGCTTAGATAAGGGGACCAAAGCTGTCCTTGGTATTCTCGGTGTGATCTATCTAGTGTCTTAGATAGTTTTAGCCAGACATTGGTATTTTAATAGAGACATTGAATTATTCAGCACCGAAACAGACCTTTCGGTCCAACTTGGCAACACTGACTTGATATCCCACTCTGAATTTAAATAATATTCAGTTTCTCTGTTCTTCCTGCCAATGTGCATAACTTCACATTTTCTCACATTATAATCCATCTGCAAGTACTGTAAAGTGTGAGTACTGTCAAGGAGTGTTGTTGGGATTAATGCAATAGTATTTTACTGGGTAAATTCCAAAATCTTTAAACTTGGGTTCTATGTAAATAGTTTGGTTTATTCTACATTTTTCTTCATTTCTTTTGCAGAATAGACTTTTATTTTGGTTTGTCAGAACCAAATCTGTGGCATTGTGTGCTTTGTGTTTCAATGAAATGCGACCACATTAAACCAAAAAAAAAGTGATCTACAAGCCAGATTTCAGTCTGGGATTTGATTTGCCTGTCAGCTGGGAACATAACAGTATTTCTAAATGCTCTGTCGTTACATTCTTTTTCAGAGATTTGAACATTATCCCAATGACAGATGTTGTTAACTGGCCTATGGTTAGTGATTGCTGCCAGTAATCTTTGTAGCTAGTTCCTTTGAAATCTTAGGATGCAACCCACCAGGTCCATGGGACCCAGCAGCCTTTAGCTTAGTACTTTTTCTCTACTGATAGTTATATTTTCTTCTTCCTGCTCTTTTGTCCCTGATCATCTAGTAGTTTTGGAAAGCTATCAGTGTCCTCTAACATGAAGACAGTTGCAACGTATTTATTCAACTCCTCTGTCAGTTCCCCATTATAATTTCCCCAGCCTCATTCTCTAAGTGACCTATGCTCACCTTGGCCTCTGCCCTTCATTTTCTATATTTGATGAAGCTGTTACTATCCATTTTTAATATTACACAGAGGTTTGCTCTCAAAGTGTTTTCTGTCTCTTTTTTCATCATCTTTTATTCATTTTAAAACATTCCTTTAAACTTTGCCACATTGTACGTTTGTCCTTTCAGTTTGATGCTATGATTAACTACTTTGGTTAATCATGGTCAGTGTATACCCTTCCTAGAATCCTTCTTCTTCACTTGGTTATATCATTGTTATGAGTAATTAACTATTTTGTTAAATGTTGGCCATTGTTGATCAACCACCTTTTCTGCTAATTTCCTTTCCCAGTCCACCTCAGCCAACCCTACCTTCATTCCTTTAGAATTATCGTGATTTAGTTTAGCACAGTTGTTTCCAACCCAAGTTTCTCCTTCTCAGACTGAATGCTAAGTTCCACTATGTTACGGTTACTGTTTCCTAGGGGACCAATTACTTTGGGATCATTTGTTAAAGCTGCCTCGTTACATATTACTAGAGCCAAAACAGCCTGATCTTGACCAAAACAGTAGTTGCTGGAAAAGCTCAGCAGGTCTGCCAGCATCTGTGGAGAAAACAAAAAGTCAGAGTTAACATTTCAGGTCCAGACCTGCTGAGGTTTTCCAGCAACTTCTTTTTTTGTTCCTGATTTACAGCATCCGCAGTTCTTTTGGTTTTTATTTTGATCTTGACCAAAATATTTTTTAACCATGGGATCTGGTTCTTGTTCCCAATCTGTTTTTTTCCAAAGGACAACTGATATACAAGTTTACACTGAAGCCTAATCACACTGAACTGGTGGCAGGGAAGAAGCTGGTACTGAACTGCATTGTCGAGGCAGAATTCAATGTTGTTGTTGACTTTCAGTGGGAATACCCGGGAAAAATGGTAAGGTGGCAAGTTTCTAGTTTTGTGGCCTGTTTATGTTATTTTGCATTCATTTATAGGCATCACTGGCAAGGCCAGCATTTGTTGCCCACCCCTAAATTGGCCTTGAGAATTTGATATGGAATAACGAACCAGAGGAGGGACTTCCTGAGGTCCAGTTCCCAGCATGTACGCTGTTCACACTCATTGTGCACAACGGTTCTGTTGGAAAAAGACAGCTGACCATTTGCCATTTGCACTGAAATTGACTGCAAAGATGCTGTTTGCAATTCAGTGTCAGATAATTAAATCAATTTAATAAGATTCCCAGGCGGGAATGCCTTAATAACTTTGCCAGTTCAGATAATTTTAGGATTCCATCATTTCAGGCACACTGAAAATGTTTATTAGCGTTTCAGTACTACGCTGTCATTGTAATGGAGAGTGTGTTGAAACAGGGGCTGAGTGACGAACCACAAGAATTTGTTGGCCTCAGTCAAGTTCCAGGATTTTCCTCCATCACCTGTCTAAATACTAGGTTCAAGACAGAGCTGGAATCTCCCACTGGTGACCGACATTATTTTCATTCAATACTTTGTACTGGGCAAGTCACATTATGATCAACTCTAAACAACAATTATGAAGGCAAACAAACCGGAGGCTGGAAGAACACAGCAAGCCAGGCAGCATCTGGAGGAAAGGAGCAGTCAACGTTTCGGGTATTACCCATCTTCAGTCGTGGCTTGCTGTGTTCTTCCAGCCTCCTGTTTGTCTACCTTGGATCCCAGCATCGGCAGCTTTTTTGTCTCTAATTATGAGGGCAAATTGCTTAAACTCGGCATGTCGTGAAGGAATAGCAATAAAGTTACAGAGTTTTTCAGCACAGAAGGAAGCCCTTCAGCCCATCATGTCCATTCACTGCATTTGACCCATATCATTTCAAGTGTTCAACGAAATATTTCTTAAATGTGTGTTTACCATTCTTTCAGACAATGAGTTCCAAATACCCCACTCTCTGAGAGAAAAACAGTTCTCCATAAATCTTTTTGAAACCTCCTGTCTATTATCTTAAACCTAGTCCTTTGAATATAGAGAATAAAGATTAAAGGATGATCTAATGAGGTGTTTAAGAAATTTGATAGGATAGATAAATAAAATCAATTTACTCTGGTAGGGACTGGGTTGATTGAGAAAAATGCAGTGTAGAGTTAAAGTCAGAGCTAAGCTATTAACAGGTTAAAGGGCTCTTATGGTGCAGTGATAGTGTCCCTACCTTTGTACCAGAAGATCTGGAGTCAACTGCCACCTGCTCCAAAGGTGTTTCATGACAGATCTGAAAAGGTTGTTTAAAAATATTTGGACAAGGAGAACAAATGCAATATTACCACATTTGCAGATCGTACAGAGCCAAGCAGGAATGTGTGCTGTGGGGAAGATATAAACGTTTTACATAAGAACACAAGAAATAGGAGCAGGAGTTGGCCATCTGGCCTGTTAAGCCTGCTCTGCTATTTAAAAGATCATGACTGATCTTTTCGTGGACTCAGCTTCACTTACCAGCCTGCTTGCCCTTAATTCCTTTACTGTTCAAAAATCTATCTATCTTTGCCTTAAAAACATTCAACAAGGCAGCCTCAACTGCTTCACTGGGCAGGGAATTCCACAGACTCACAACCCTTTGGGTGAAGAAGTTCCTCCTCAGCTCCATCCTAAATCAGCTCCCCCTAATTTTGAGGCTAAGCCCCCTGGTTCTAGTTTCACCGCCATTGGAAACAACCTCCCTGCTGCTATCTTGAGGATTTGGACCGGCTTAGTTCTTAAAGGAAAATAAAAATGAAAAGAGTAATAATCCAGAGGCCAAGACTAATTCTCTGGGGACATGGGTTTAAATCTCACCAGAGAGGCAGATGGAATTTCAATTCAATGAGTACATCTGGAATATAAAATGGTGACCATGACAACTTTCTTTGATTAAGAGTCCATCTGGTTTATTAACATCCTTTAAGTAAGGAAATCTTCCATCCTTACCTGATCTGGGCTGAATGTGACTCCAGACCTACAGCAATGTGGTTGACCCTTAACAACCCTCTGAAATGGCCCTTGTGAACCACTCAGTTCAAGAACGATAGGGATGGGCAACAATGCTGGCTTTGCTAGTGACACCCATATCTCATGAAATAACGAAGACAATAAAACAATCAGGAAACACTACATTATATAAATGCTGTTGAAACTGGAGGTCAGTGAGCGAACTTGATTGATTTTTCACCAGTTAACCTAATACATATTATGGCACCATCACAGCTGCACAGAGTTAGGGTACAGATCAAGGTCTCATTCAATGGGGCAACAAGGCTCAAGGAGATGGATAGTTTACTTCCAAAGAAACCCCTCAGGTACTTTCTTTAATAATTGGTGCCTCTGTGGTATTTCTGGACACTTTGGCTGTGTTGGTGAGTTGCTGAATGATGTGTTTTGTCTGTTTTTAACCTGGCCCAGGCTGATCAACCAGTGCTTTCATCGCAAAAACGTGAGCTGAATGAAGGGTTAGAACTGAGCAGTACTCTCATCATAAATAACATAACAATGGCGGAGGGGGGCACCTACATCTGCAGGGCCAATAACGGCTTCGACATTAAGGAGAGAGCAGCAGAGGTCATTGTGCATGGTAAGAAAATACAGTCTGCCCATTGCCCACGTCGGGGCTCCGCTGAGTAACGTTTGACCCTCTTTGCACATGATTGGAGAGTGTGTGTCATCACTTGGGGAGGAAGGAATCCCCTTTTTCCATAAACACCTTCTGCCTGCAGTTTACACAGCGAGTTTCAGAATTTCGTCAAGTCCCAAACCACTTCACAGCCAATGAAGTGGTCACCATTATGCTATAGGAAATGCAACTGCAAATTTGCGTTTAGCAAGATTGCACAACAGCAGATCACCAATACGGTCACCAGATCATCTGCCCTAATGATGATGTTTCAAGGATAAACATTGGCCAGGACAGCAGAGTGGGGGTAGTGCAGGCGAGATATTGTCCTCATGATTTGTTTGAAATGCTGCCGTTGTGTCTTTCATGCCCAACTGAGAGACCAGGCAGGCATCAGTTTAAAATCTTTTCTGCCAGCAAAACATTGCCTCAGTATTGTCCCTGCATCACTGCATTGTGTTCTGAGCACTGCCCCTAAAATATTGCAAGGCTGCCTCAATATTGCACCTGAGCTAATACATCATGCCCTTGGCACTGCGCCCTTGGCACTGCATTTCACCAGTGCATCACACCCTCAGTACTTCCTCTGCACTCATGAATTTCTCCCTCAGTACTGTGCCTTTATTAATGTAATGCGTCCTCAGTACTAACCAGCAAGTAGTGCAGCACTCCATCAGAATTGACTGCTTAAAGTGCTCTGTTACATCCCTACTGACCCTCTGACAGTGCAGCACTCCCTCAGAACTGACCCACTGACAGTGCGGCACTCCTTCAGTACTGACCCTCTGACAGTGCGGCTCTCCCTCAGTACTGACCCTCTGACAGTGCAGCACTCCCTCAGTACTGACCCTCTGACAGTGCGGCTCTCCCTCAGTACTGACCCTCTGACAGTGCGGCTCTCCCTCAGCACTGACCCTCTGACAGTGCGGCACCCCCTCAGTACTGACCCTCTGACAGTGCGGCACTCCCTCAGTACTGACCCTCTGACAGTGCAGCACTCCCTCAGTACTGACCCTCTGACAGTGCGGCACTCTCTCAGTACTGACCCTTTGACAGTGCAGCGCTCCCTCAGAACTGACCCTCTGACAGTGCAGCACTTGCTCAGTACTGATCCTCTGACAATGGCGAGCTCCATCAGTAGTGCTCCTCCAACAGTACTTCGGTACAGTACTGAGATTGTCAACCTGGAGTTTGGAGGCCTTCTAACTTAAACCATGCTACTAACTAATCTCGAACTGACACTATGGGACAGCAAGAAGTCATGTATTATTACTCCATATTATTGCAAGTTTGTTTTTTTTCTTTCAAAAGCAACTCGCAGCTACACAAACAGTTTGGAAGTGTAGCTACTTCTGTTTGTGTAGCTACTGCACTAGGTAACTCCAGATTAAGCTTCACTGGTGTTTTGGGGATTTGTTCTCCTCTTGATATCTCTTCTTTTCCCACTTTATCCAGAAAAGCCTTTCATCCATGTGAATTATGATAAGAGCCCCATCATTGAGGCAACAGTGGGACAGAAAAATATGTATTTCCCTGTGAAGTTCCGAGCCTATCCCAAACCTGAGATCAAACTGTGAGTACTGCCAGGAAAGCTCAGACTGCAATGTGAATCAAGAAAATCTTTACGCTTCCATCGACTGAATGTTCCTCTTTACTTCTATACACTTTCCTGATTCTAAATAAGTGTGATCTAATTCTTTCACAAATATCACCTTTAAATTTCTATTTGTTTAACCCTTCTTCTCTCCTTTCTTCATCCCTCCTCCACTGTCTTTCATGGGAACAGGAGGAGGCCATTCAATCTGCCTGGACTGCTCCACCTTTCTATGAGATGGTTGGACTATGGTCAAAGCTCCACTTTCCTGCCTTATCCCCATAACCCTTGATCTCCTCACTACTTAAAAATCTGTCTATCCGAGTTTTGAATACCACCACCCCCACTCCCCCACCCACCGCCCCCCGCCAACCCACCAACCCCCTGGTAAACAATTCCACAGATCCGCAACCTTCGAGAGGACAAAGAAATCTTCATCTCTGGATGACCCCTTACTCTGAGATTATGCCCTCTGATCCTAGACACTCCCATAAATGGAAACAACCTCTGAATCTACCTTATCAATGCCACGAATCCACCCCCCCACCCCCCCAGAATCTTATATATGTTTTTAAGAAGGTCACCTCTCATTCTTCCAAACACCAATGAATACAAGCCCAACCTATGCAACCTCCCTCCTGGAAAATCCCTCTGTACCTGGGATCAACTTAGTGAACTTTCTCTGAACTGCATCCAATGCTTCATAACTTAGTAAGTTATCTAAGTTATACTTTCCTTAGTTTGTTTTATTCATTCACGGGATGAGGGCATTGCTGACTAGGCCAGTATTTATTGCCCAGCCCTAATTGCCCAGAGGGCAGTTGAGAGGCAACCACATTGCTGTGGGTCTGGAGTCACATGTAGGCCAGACCAGGTGAGGATAGCAGATTTCCTTACTTAAAGGATGCTAGTGAACCGGATGGTTTTTCCAACAATCAACAGTAATTCATGATCTTCATTAGACTCTTATTTCCAGATTTTTATTGAATTCAAATTCCATCTTCTGTCATGGCGGGAGTCGAACCCAGGTTACAGAACATTACCTGGGTCTCTGCATTAACAGTCCAGTGGTAACACCACTAGACAAGGGACTAAAATTGTCATAGTATTCTGACCAATGCCTTGTATAGTTTCAGCAGGACCTCTTTTTTTTACATTCAACTGCCTTTGAAGTAAAGGCCAAATTTCCATTTACCTTCGCTGTTACCTCCTGAACTTGTAAGCTAGCTTTTTCGGATTCATTCATGAGGAACCCCAGTTCTTGTCCTTTTAAATATTATTCAGCTCCTCTAATCTTCTTGCCAAAATGTGTAACTTGACATTTTCCATAATATATTCCATCTGCCATTTACTTAACCTGTCTATACTCCTCTGCAGATGCTTTGTGTCATCCATTCATATTCCCACATATTTTTTGTGTCATCTGTAAATATGGCTACAGGATATTCACTTTCCTCAACCAAGACAGTAATATACAGTATGTAAATAATTATGTCCCCAGTACTGATCTCTGCAGCACTCCACTTGTTACAGATTGCCAATGTGAAAATGCCCTGCCCCCTTATCCCAACTCTCTGTCTTCTATTAATTACACAATCCTCTCTCCATGCTAATACACTAACCTAACACCATTGGCTCTTATCTTAGTAAGCAGCCTTAATTGTAGTAATTATCAAATGCCTTTTTGGAAATTCACTTGTACTATAGTCATTAGTTTCCCCTAAGTCCATCCTGCCTAATACCTGCTCAGAAGTTCTAATGAATTTGTTAGGCATGATTTTCCTTTCATGAAGCCATGTATTTGATCATATTATTTATTTCTAAATGCTTTGCTATTATATCCTTCATAATAAACTCTAACATTTCCTAATAACAGATCTCACACTAACTAGCCTATAGTTACCTGTTATTTGTCTCCTTCCTTTTTTAAACCGTGGTGTTACATTGGCAGTTTTCCAATCCTCTTCATTTTTCAAGAATCCAAGGATTTTGGGATAATTTCTACCAGTGCATCCACGATCTCTGTAGCTACCTTTGTTTAAAATCCCAGGATGCAACTTGTAAGGTCCAGGGGACTTAATGGCCTTTAGCCCCATTACTTTCCTAGTACATTTCCTCCAGTGATAGTTATTGCCCTTGATGTCATTGATAGCCAAGAATTTATTAATTTCTGACTTGAACATACTCAATGAATGAGCCTCCACAGCTGTCTGGGCAAGGCAATTCCAAAGACTCACCACTTTTTGCATAAAGCAAGTTCCCCTCATCTCGGTCTAAAGTGAAGGTTCACCAAACTGATTTTTTGGGGTGAGAGATAGTAGGAACTGCAGATGCTGGAGAATCTGAGATAACAAGGTGTAGAGCTGGTTGAACATAGCAGGCCAAGCAGCATCAGAGGAGCAGGAAGGCTGACATTTCGGGCGTAGACAGAAGGGTCTAGGCCCGAAACATCAGCCTTCCTGCTCCTCTGATGCTGCTTGGCCTGATTTTTTGGGGTGGCAGCTTTGGTGTACAAGGAAAGATTCAGTCTGTATTCATCAGACTTTGGAAGCAGGAGAACAGATCTCATTGAAACATATAAATATCTGACAGGGCTGGACTGACTGGGTGCTGGAGTGATGTTTCCTCTGACCAGGAGCATCCAGAACAAGGGACCATGGTCTCAGGATACATATTTGATGGGGTTGAGGCGAATGTTCTTCATCCAGAGGTTGGTGAACCTATGGAATTCTCTAACCCTGAAAGCTGTGAAGGCAGAGCCACTGAATATCTTGAACAAATTAATATGTATATTTCTAGAGGCTCAAGGTATCAAGGGATATGAGGAGTACAGGCAGACCCCGAGTCTGAACAAGTTCAGTCATTGTTCGCAAGTCGATTTGTACGCATGTTAGAACATAATGCAGGGCAATATAAAATTGCCATTTGTAACTACAGGAAACATTAATAAGCTGGATGTTTAAAATTACATCCCTGTATAGGGATCACATTCATAACACAGTGTGGAGCTGGAGGAGCACAGCAGGCCAGGCATCATCAGAGGAGCAGGAAAGTTGACGTTTCAGGTCGGGACCCTTCTCCAGAAAAGAAACGTCAACTTTCCTGCTCCTCTGATACTGTCTGGCCTGCTGTGTTCATCCAGCTCCACACTGTGTTATCTCTGACTCCAGCATCGGCAGTTCTTACTATCTCTGACGTTCATAAATCAGACGTTTGAAAATTATGGACCCCCTGTATTGAGCATTGAAATAGGATCAAACATGATCATAGTGAATGGTGGAACAGTCTCACTGGGCCAAATGACCTACCTCTGCTTCTATTCCCTATGTTTCTAAACGGTTTACCCATTATCCTGAGATTAGATTTAGGTTTTGTTGTCACATGTACTCAAGTACGGGGTACAAAGTGTACAGTGAAAAGTGTACAATGTTGCCACACACAGAACCATGTTAGGTACAAAGTACCTAGGTATATAATCTTAGTTGCAGAAGTAAAAAAGTAAAGAAATAACTTAAAAGGTTCAGCACTATAGTCTTCTTACTGTAAAAATAAATAAATAGATAGATAGATAGATAGATAGACAGACAGACATAAAATGTCAAACATTACAGGGATTACGTCCCTGGTTTAAGACTCACTAGTCTGGAGAAACACCTTATCTACACCCACCCCAACATCTTATCTACACCCACCCCATCCAAAAATTTTATAAGTTCAAATGACATCACCTCTCAATTTTCATACAGACCCCATCTGTCTATCTGTCTTCATAAGACAATCCATCTGGTGAACGTCCATCGTGCTCCTTCTATGGCAAATATATCCTTCCTTAGATAAGTGACCCAAAACTCTGTATAACACTCCATGTGAGGTCTTACCACGGCTGTGTACAACTGTAGCAAAACATTTTTTCCCCATTACTCAAACCCCCATGCAATGAAGACCAACATATTATTTCCCTCCCTAATTATTTGCTACACATACATTTTAACTTTAAGTGACTCATGTACAAAGAGATCCAGGTTTATTTGGACACACTCACTTCCCAACCTCTCAACATTTAAGAAATATTCTGCCTTTCTGTTTTACTACCAAAGTGAATAACTTCATACTTATCCCTAATTCTCTGTCGTCATCCTCCTCTCCCACCGCTTCTTACCCCTCTTTCACCTCCTCTGCTTCTAACTCTCTCCTCCTTCTTCTCCCCTCCCCCTTCTGACCTTGTCTCTTTTGCCTTTTCTACTCCCTCCACGTTTTCTCTCCTTTGCTCTCTCTCAAAACCTGTCTCCCTCATTGGTAAGTTGAAAATAACCACTTGATGTGTGTTTTGTTTCAGGTACAAAAATGGAAAATTTATCAGTAAAAGTCCATCCTTTAACAAGGTGAAACTTTCATCATCGGGTTTGGTGATCGGGGATGTGACCGAGCAGGAAGCAGGGAACTACACCATAGTGCTACGAAACAACAAAGCGAAACTAGAGGAGCGACTCCATCTGCAGCTGGTGGTCAATGGTAAAACGCCAGTCAGAATTCTCTTGCAAAACAAGAATGATCTGATTAGTTCCTAATTACTTTGGATTTAGGTGCCACATCCAGCCTCTGTATTATATGCCTTCATCAACAGCATTATGTCTGTTCTCGTCCTGGTGTACAGTGTCACTCTGGGGCATAGGTTCCACGCACACTGCTTCATGCTGGTGTAAAGGGGTGATATCCTGCGAGAAGGTTCAGCAGGGGAAGAGGCACTGCCAGAATTAGAAGAGGTAGCAAGCGAGTCAGGAAGGCATAGAAATTATAAGCCAGTGAAGGCACAAGGGAGTTTAGCAAAGGCAGGATGGTATTTATTTTAATGCAAGAATCGAATGAACGAGGCCCAAATTAAAACATGTAGAATGATGTCATTGCTATTACTGACACATAGTTGAGAGGGGGCCATGATTGGTAGCTCGATATTCCAGAATATATAGTGTTCAGGCAAAACAGGAAGGAGATAAAAATCACAGAATCCCTGCAGTGTAGAAGCAGGCCATTCACCCCATCGAGTCCACAATGACTCTCCGAAGAACATCCCATCCAAACCCAACTTATTCCCATAACCCTGCATTTCCCATGGTTAACCCACCAACCCCTGGACACGATGGGCAATTTATCAATCCACACAAACCTACACATCTTTGGACTGTGGGAGGAAACCGGAGCACCCGGAGGAAACCCATGCAGACACAGGGAGAATGTGCAAACTCCACACAGTTGCCCGAGGGTGGAATTAAACCTGGCTTCCTGGTGCTGTGAGGCAGCAGTGCTAACCACTGAGGCACTGTGCCGTAAAAGAGAAGGGGGTGCTGCAATATTGAACTGGGAATCAATTACAGCAGTAAAGAGGGATGACATTTTAGAAGGCTCCACAAATGAAGCCATATGGGTAGAAATTAAAAACCGAACAGGAGTAATCACATTGTTGGGACAGTACTATTGGCCTTCTAACAGTGTGAGAGAAATAGAGTGCACTTACGTAGGCAAGTTTCAGAGAAGTGTAAAAATAATAGGGTAGTGATAATGGGAGATGTCAAGTTCTCCCACATTATCTGGAGTAGCAGAGTGTGAAAGCTTTAGAGGGAGCAGAATTCTTAAAATGCATCCAGTAGAGATTTTTAAGCCAGTACATTTTGGAGGAGGTTACTAGGTATGTAGATGGGGGCAATGCATTTGACGTGTTCTACTTGGACATCAGCAAGGCTTTTGATAAGGTCCCACATGGTACATACACTATCCCTCACCAGGGTATGAGTTCCACACACACACACACCTGTTCCTACGATCTCTGGAACAATTCTCACTGGGCTACAGGTTTCACCTACAGTGACCCTTACTAGGATACAGCAACAAAATAAACAGACAGAATTTGTTTGACTACAGCTAAAAAACAAAAAAAGAGGTAAAATGGCATTGTTCAGTATCATCTATAGTGCAAGAATTTTAGATTATATATCATGGAGAGACAGTAGTTGTTCTGACTGTCAGTGTGAAACTTGCGCATTCTCCCCGTATCTGATTTCTCTCCACAGAAGTTGCCAGACCTGTTGAGCTTTTCTAGCAATTCCTGTTTTTGTCTCCCTGTGTGTCTGCATGGGCTTCCTCCAGGTGCTCCAGTTTCCTCCCGCAGTCCAAAGATGCGCAGGTTAGGTGGATTGGCCATGCTAAATTGCCCATAGTGTCCAGGGATATATGGGCTAGGTGGGTTAGCCATGGGAAATGCAGGGACAGGGTCAGGAAGGTGGGTCTGAGTGGGATGCTCTTCAGAGGATCAGTGTGGACCCGATGGGCTGAATGGCCTGCTTTCACACTGTAGGGATTCCAAATATATAGACAGCAGTAGCGTAAAGAAGGTAAGAGTTGAGAGTTCAGGAGTATTTGCTGCACCAGTATGTTTCCAACAAGGAGAAAGGGGGCATTTCCAAGTGGAACTAGTTGCTGGGAATAAAGTGGACCGAGTGGATCAATTGGGGGAATATTTAGAGGACAGTGATGATTGTGTTAGCTATGGAAAAGGACAAGTAACAATCTAGGGCAGCAACAACTAACTGGGATAAGCCAACTTCAATGGGGTAAAAATAGATCTTTCCCAATAAATTAGAACTAACGATGATCAGATATCGTAGTAACTGGACAATGGGCTGCCTTTAATGAAGAGATAGTTCTAGTATAGTCAAGATTTATTCCTATGAAGGAGAAAGACAGGCAAACAAATCCAGAGCTCTTTGCATGACAAAATAGAGGGAGAGTAAGATGAAGCAGCAAATATTTCCTTACGACATATTTCATTTGGATAAATCAATTGAGAATCGTGTCAAATATAGAAGATTCAGAGGGGAATTGAGCAAGAAATAAGAAAAGCAAAGTGAAAGTATGAAAAGAGACTGGCAATTAACATAAAAGGGAATACAAAACATTTCTACAGGCATATAACTAGTAAAAGGGCAGTAGGGGAGCAGTGAGGCAATTAGTTAACAAAAAACTATTTAAAATGGAGGGGGGGCATAGCTGAAATATTAAATGAATACTTGGCATCCACCTTTACCAAGGATTTGGTTCAATTTGATTTGATTTGATTGTTATCACATGTGCTGAGATAGAATGAAAAATACCATACGTAGTACAGCAGGGTAATAAAACAAAATGTAGAATATAGTGTTACAGCTACAGAGAATGTACAGAGAAAGATCAGTTCTAATACATGAAACGTCCATTCAAAAGTCTGATAACAGCTGGGAAGAAACTGTTCTTGAATCTGTTGGTACATGTTTTCAAACTTTTGTATCTTCTGCCCGATGGAAGAGGTTGAAAGAGAGTGTAACCGGGGTGGGAGGAGTCTTCGATGATGTTGGCTGCTTTCCCGAGGCAGTGGGAAGTATAGGCGGAGTCAATGGAATGAAGGCTGGTTTGTGTGATGGACTGGGCTGCGTTCACAACTCTCTGTAATTTCTTGTGGTCTTGGGCAGAGCAGTTGCCGTACCTAGCTGTGATGCATCCAGACAAAGTGCTTTCTACGGTGCATCTATAAAAATTGGTAAGAGTCATTTTGGATATGCCGAATTTCCTTAGCCTGCTGAGGAGGTAGAGCAGTTGTTATGCTTTCTTGACTGTAGCATTGACGTGGATGGACCAGGACAGATTGTTGGTGATATTTACTCCTAGGAACTTGAAGCTCTTAAACACCTCCACCTCAGCACCATTGATACTGACAGGGGCGTGTCCTCCACTCCGCTTCCTGAAGTCGATGACCAGCTCCTTTGGTTGATATTGAGGGACAGATTGTTATCTTTACACCATGCCACTAAGCTGTCTATCTCTTTCCTGCACTCTGTCTTGTCTAAAATCTGACCCACTATGGTGGCATCACCAGCAAATGTGTAAATGGAGTTAGAATAGAATTTGGCCACACAATCATGAGTGTGTAAGGAGTACAGTAAGGGGCTGAGAATGCAGCCTGGGAGGCACAGGTGCTAAGGATTATCGTGGAGGAAGCATTGTTGCCTATCCTTACTGATTGCAGTTTGTGAGTCAATGATCCAGTTGCGCAGGGGGGAGCAGAGACCTAGGACTCAGAGATTGGAGGCAGAGTTATAGTCAATAACTATAAATCTGACGTAGATGTCCTTGTTATCCAGATGTTCCAGGGATGAGTGTAGGGCCAGGGAGGTGGAAACAGATGTGGCCAAGGTCATGGTGAGAAAGGAGGCCGTTCAGACTCTTGAAGGGTTTAAAAATGAATGATGAAGAGTTATTGAATTTGGCTGCTGTATTTAAAGTTGACAAGGTACCAAGACTGGTTGAGTTGCATCCAAAGATGCTGAGGGAAATGAGTGGAAATTGCAGAGGTAGTGACCACAATTTTCCAGACATTTTTAGACGTGGGGAAGGTGCCAGAGGACTGTAGAACTGTCAATGTGACATCCTTGTTCCAAAAAAAGGTCTAAATATAAATCTAGTGACTAGAGTTAACCTTGGTGGTGAGGAAACAATGGGACAAAATTAATAATCATGACAGAGTGTGCAGAAAAGATTCTGAGAATGGATCCAAGAATGAGAAACTTCAGTTACATAGATAGAGAGGAGAAGATTGAGGGGTGTTTTGAAAAGGAGGTGTGTAATCATTAGGGATCTGGACAGAGTAGATGAGGAGAAACTGTTTTCTCAATGTTGGAAGGATCACGAACTAGAGGGCAAAGATTTAAACGAATTGGCAAAAGATACAATGGTAGCATGTTGAACCTTTTCACGTTGTGAGATTGTGATGGAGGCAGGGATCGACTGGGGTTTTCAAAAGGGATTGGATCATTATCATTAGAGGAAGAATTTGCATGGCTACAGGGAAAAGGCAGGGTAGTGTCACCCCTGTCACACTTTGAGTGGGATGCCCTGTCACATGGGCCAGTCCTGTCACATGGATGGGTGTGTCTGTGCCATGCTGAGGCAGGGGGTGGAGGTATCGGAGTCACTTTGAGGGGCAGCTACTGACTGAACTTTAGTTTTGAAACCTCAACATTCTCACATCAGGGTCATCAGGTTATCTGTGAAAAATTGAAGTACTCCAAAGATAACTGAAAATACAGTTGTGCTCGTTGTTCTGAAATATACATTTGTGCTGGCTTGTTTCAAATGCAAGTCCCAGGCAGAAAAAAAACAAGAGCAGCAAATCCAAATACAAAACTTCAAACCTTCAAACCTTCAAAAACGCAATAATGTTCACAGCTCCCATTGTGGCTTTGGTCAACAAGGTAACCGGTACAATAAGAACTGCAGATGCTGTAAATCAGGAACAAAAACAAAAGTTGTTCAGCAGGTCTGGCAGCATCTGTGAAGAAAAAGATCAGAGTTAAACTTTTGGGTCCGGTGACCCTTCCTCAGGACAAGGTAACTGATATAGTGAAAGCCAGCACTGCCTTTATAAGTATCCAAATTAAGCTATTGCCAAATTTCTATCAGTAACATTAATCCAAGGGGCCAATGCAAGGTTGCAGAACTCAGATAGAAAAGGCCCAAGATTTAATTTTAAAATAACATTGCCCAGTCCGTTGATGTAAAGTATAACAGGTAGCCAACCAATCACATAAGTTTCCCAATTTCGGTGACTTAGGATAAAAATTCCCTCTTGACAGGATCGCATGTACTATGGCTGTGAAAGGAGATTAAGTGGGTGGGTTGAGTTCCTGACATTACAGAGTGAATTATTAGGAGTCTGTGTTCCATATTTGTTGATGTGATATGCCTAAATTACTCCAGTTCCAATTGCTATACAATTTCAAGCATATTAACTGACAGAGAAGACACTGGAGTAGGCGTAATGGCATTGGGGCAGATGTAAAGATGCTGAAATAGGGGTGGAGTCACTGGAACAGATGTGAAGACATGGTAGATGTGAAAACACTGAAGGGGTATGTATTTTTCTTTACAGAATCCATTTCATTGACTTCACTGCAATGACAAAAGGTGTGTCCTATATGTAAGAGTTATACATAGGAGTTTGTCATCTATCTGGGAGGGCAGTTATATATAGGGGTGTATCATATATCAGGGAAGAAGAGTAATATATTGAGGTTGGTCATATCAGGGAAGGGAGTTATATAGAAGTGTATATCTGTATCAAGGAGGGATATACAGAAGTGATTTCAATACAGAAGAGATTCTATATTGCAGGTTCTCCACTGGTTAATAATTATGACCCATCATCTCATTCACACTGACATACACTGCAATGAAGTACTTACTTCTTTCTTTCCCTTCAACAGTCCCACCTCAGATTCACGAGAAGGAAGTGGCTTCCCCGACCAACATTTACCCACGTGGAAGTCGCCAGACACTGACCTGCACCGTCTACGGGATCCCTGCTCCTGTGAAGATACAATGGTCCTGGAGGCCATGGGGGCCTTGTGGTCTAAAATCCTACCGCAGCCTGTAAGTATCATGAATCAGTGATTTAAACTCATGCAGACAATCCCAGGCCTTGTTACCAGGGTCTGTATTAGCTTACACTCTCCTTCAAACCGTTTGTCACAACAGCATGCTATTAGGTAGGTAAATGGAATGTTAGGCCCAAGTGTAAACGCAGAGGTCTTGCCGCATTTATACAGGGCTTCAGTAAGACCCCTCCTAGAATACTGCATACAGATGTGATTTCTATATATCCACCCTTTCAAACGATCCAAGAATTTTATAGATTTCAATGAGATCGCCTCTTATTCATCTAAACTCCAGAGAAATCAGGCCCATTCTGCTCAATTTCTCCTCATAGGATAATCCCTTCAGCCCAGGAATCACTGAAATGAACCTCTGCTGCATTCCCTCAAGGGCAAATTATATCCATCTATGCACAATACTCCAGATTTAGTTTCATAAACCTCTATTTAATTGTAGCAAGAGTTCCTCTAACTTACTAACATCATTGCTTTATAAACCCGATACCTGATGGAATTTGATAGCCAACCTGCTAATGTCTGCTTGAAGGAGTGAATTTCAGACAAGCATGACAATTTATTGCATTGTATCGAATTCCTGAAATCGCCTGTTGAATTCCTCTGCTAACTTCCTCAAGTGGGCATAGAAGATTTATGAGTGGAAACACTTTTGTTTATCTTTGATTTTTTTTTCTACTACTTTTTTCCAGACTTAGAAACTGTTGCAGCATCTTATTTTTTAACTGGGAGGATTACTGATCCAGTTTGAATTTCAGTTTGAATGTACTCACAGCACTGATCATATGTGCTAAGTCTCTGTCTTTTCCCTGCAGTTCACAGTTCAGCTCCTTCAGTTTTGAGGTTTTGAATGTAAGGAACCTGAAATGAAACAACCACACATTGTCAGACAGCTCGCTACACATTTCATTCCTTGATTTAAAAAAAATCACTTTCAGGCATCAGATCTAAAAATTTTTGCAGGAGCTTTCCTCAACTTAAATCCACAAATCTGAAACCTCTAAGAGCTGGCAAAATAAATCAAACAATTAGACTGATTGTTGTTGCTGAGGTCTGTGTCAAGAGTGTTTTATGAAAGGATTGTTTGATTTATTTTAGATAAAGCAACAGTACACCTTTAATAGCTAAGAGACTTTGTTGAATGCCAATTTGGTGAGGAAACAGACACAGCAATGAATTTTTCATGCTGTCTTTTCTGCCAATACATTGCTGTCTGTTTCAAGCTGAGACGATGCTGCAGTAATCCTGACTCTTGGTTTCTTCCTGTTTTTCTAAAGCTGCCTGTTCACTTCTTCTAACACATAGCCCCAGGACAAGACTCGGCTCCTCAATACATTGATTATGTCTCAGTCATGTCCTGAAGTGTTCTGCCCATCAGATTAAACAAAACAGGGCAGACTTTGGAGCTGGGTTATACATAGAAAACACATCTTAGAAAAGGAGGCCATTTGGCCCATATTGTTTGTGTCAGTTATAAAAACAAGCTGTCCTGCCTGATCCCACTTTGCAGCTCTTAGTTTACAACTCTGTGCCTCACAGCACTTCAAGTGCACACCTGAGAATCTTTTTTACACACAATTAAAGTCTCTGCCTCTACAACTCTTTCAGTCGGTGAATCCCAGTCTCCATTAACTAGTGGTGAAAAATGCCGGACAACTACCCTGTAATCCAGAGTTACCATAGAATCCCTACAGTGTGGAAACAGGCCCTTCAGCCCAACAAGTCCACATAGACCCATCCACCTATAACCCACCTAATCTCCACATGCCTGGACACTATGGGCAATTTAGCATGGCCATTCCACCGAGCCTGCACATCTTTGGACTGTGGGAGCAAACTGGAGCACCCGGAGGAAACCCACGCAGACACGGGGAGAATGTGCAAACTCCACATAGACAGTCGCCCAGGGGTGGAATTGAATCCGGGTCCCTGGCGCTGTGAGGCAGCAGTGCTAATCACTGAGCTACCGTGCTGCCCCCTCATTATTGACCTCTTCATTATTGAAGGTAAATCCCTTCCTGTCCTCTCAATCTCCACCCCCCCATAAATGTATATTTACCTCAAATAAATCTCCTTTTGGCCTCCACTGTTCCAAGGAAAACACATCCCAGCCTATGCAATATTTCCTAAGGAACTTTCCAAGCCCCTATCTTCTACTGGGTACAACAAGGTGACAGAAGATGAACCAGTTCCCTCTGTTTAACCTCCTTGGTTGGTCAAGAAAAAGGTTTCAGTCCTTTTTGCAAGTGTCTGTAATGCTCCCCAATTCAGAATCTTGACCAGGTTTTGCTGTAAACAATAAGGAGCCAAGCAATAAAGTTTTCTTGAGACAAAGAAAGAACAGTATGATTTTTTTTATTCATTCATGGCTTTGGGCAGCATCAGCCAGGCCAGCATTTATTGCCCATCTCTAATTGCCCTTGAACTGAGTGGCTTGTTCAGCCATTTCAGAGGACAGTCAAGAGTCAACCACATTGCTGTGGGTCTGGAGTCACATGGAGTCCTGACCAAGTAAGGATGAAAGGTGATGGGGTAGGATTGAGTGTCAGTCCTGCTCTTTGTATAACCAGTTTGGATATAACTCTTTGTTCCAGTAATACCTACGATCAAGGTATTTCGCCATACACAACCCCTCCCAAAACTCCATTCATGCCCATTCCAAACATCTCACACTGGAGGGCAACTTATCTCTTTTCTCACCTCCACTTTGTACTAGCGCTGTTAAGCCATTTGTCCTGTCTCAGTCCATTAGACAGCCCTTTTTATATTCCTGAGACTTTCAGTGACTTTGATGACCATTTTAAAGTGTCCCGGCTTATTTTTAGCTCTTTTTTTCTCTAAATCCCAATGTCCAAGATTTTTAAATTAGTCAATGCAATTTGAAAGACTAATTGTCCATATTTTATATCCCTTATGACACTTCTCAATGTCCTACTATTTATGGTGTTAGCCTCTTACATTTTTTTGTCTTTCACCAATGCATCTCCGGAATCAATTCCATTTGATCACTTGTCTGCCCTACTTTACCAACCCATTGATAGCTTCCCACAATTTACAGTTTTCGTCCTCACTAATAACCACAAAATTTTTGTATTATCTGCAGTCTTCTTAATCATAGTTCCCACATATAAACTTAAAAAGCAAGGACCTGCCAGATCCCTCTGGGAAGTCTTTTGGTCACAAGGTCACCAATCAACCAGAATCCTTTGCTTCCTGTCACTGAGCCAATTTTGCATTCACTTGTTCTATTCCTTTGGGTCTCATGGCTCTTGTTTTTCTGATCAGTCTGCTACTTGAAGCTTTCTCAGAAACTATACTAAAATCCGTGTAGACTACATCAAATGTCCTAACCTCATAGAAACTCCTTGTTACTACTTTAAAAAAAATCAGTCAACTGAGTCAGGCATGCTATTCTGTTAGCAATTTAATGCTGACTTTCCGTGATACATTCTTTCCAAATTACTATTTATGTTGACCCTCGGAATGTTTTTTTCCAATAAATTCCCATCGAGGTTAAGCTGACTGATCTGTAATTACTAGGGCTATCACTTCCTCCCGTTTCAACAACAATGCAATGTTAGCTTGTCCTCTCACACCACGCCTGGAGTCAGAGAATTGGAAAATGATGGTCAGAACCTCTATTATTTCCTCCCTTGCTTCTCTTAAGAGCTGGATATACTTCACATCTGACCTTGGTGGTTATCCTTTTACTGTTGATATCTTTATATAATATTTTGGGTGTCATTGGGTTTTACTAGCTCAATATTTTTTCATGCCCTCTCTTTGCTTTCCTAATTTCCTTCTTAATTTCACACCCACCCTTTGTGTTTCTCTAGCATTTAAGGTAAAGTAAAGGCACCATAACCCCACTGACTCAACAGAGAGAGAGAGAGAGAGAGCTAGTGGTGGTTTAACCTGACTGTTACCATAACTCAGGCAAGGGGCAAGGCTGAAAAGGTGAAATCTAAATGGAAACAGCAACTGGTATAGGGATTGAACCCACACTGTTGGTGGCACAAACTAGCCATCTCGCCAACCAAGCTCACCCTCCCACAGTTTGGTAGTCCATAGTATGCACCCAGCAGATTGCCTGTATGGCCCCAAGAAAACATATGGTCTTATGTGATGATCCTTCTAGCATTTCCTAATAGTCAGAACCAGGTGTCCACACTCTGAGGCTACAGATTGGACCATTTAGGACTGAGATGAGCAGAAATGTCTTCACCCAGGGAGAGGTGACTCTGTGGGATTCTCAGCCACAGAAACAGTTGAGGCCAAAACATTCAATGTTTCCAAGCAAGAATGAGATTATAGTTCTGAGGACTAAAGGGATCAGGTTAGGAGAGTGATGGAGTGATGGAGTACTCCCTGCTTGCGTAGACAAGTGCAACTCCAACAACCTACAAACTTGACACCACCCAGGACAATACAGCCCACTTGACTGGTACCAAAACTACAGATGTTCACTCCCTCCACCACTCATGGTCAGTCACAGCAGTTTGTCCTCTCTACAAATTCTCCAGGACTCATAGGATCCTTACAACATGGGAGCAGGCCATTTGGCCAATCAACTCCACACTGACCCTCCGAAGAGCATCCCACTCACACCCACCCCTGCATTTCCCACCCTAGACACTGTGGGGCAATTTAGCACGGCCAATCCACCTCACCCGCACATCCTTGGCCTGTGGGAGGAAACCCACATAGACACAGGGAGAACATGCAAACTCCACACAGACAGTCGCCTGAGGCTGGAATCAAACCTAGGTCCCCAGTGCCAAGAAGCAACAGCACTAACCACTGAGCCACCGTGCTACCCCAAGCTCCTTCAACAATACTTTCCAAATGCACAACCATTACTGTCCACAAAGACAAGGGTACATGGAAACACCATTACTTGCAAGTTCCCCTCCAACTCACTCACTATCTTGACTTAGAATGTACTGCCATTCCTTCACTGTCTTGGAATTCCTTCCCTAACAGCATTGTGTGTCTACCTACATCAAATGGACTGCAGTGGTTCAAGAAGGCACCTCCCACCACCTTCTCAAGGGCAATTAGGGATGGATAATAACTGCTGGCCCAGCACATGATACCCATATCCAATAAATGAATATAAAAAATCAATGACGTCACCTCCACTACCTTCTGAGACAGAGAGTTCCAAAGTCTCAGCTCTCGAAGTGAAAGAAGTTTCTCTTTATCTCTGACCTAAAAGCAGGACTCCTAATTTTAAAACTGTGCCCGCTAGCTCTGGACTGACCTACAAGAGGAAATAACCTTTCCAAGTCTGCCTTGTCAACTCCATTCAAGGTCCTATACACTTTAGCCAAGTCACCCCACGGTTCTAAACTCTCATAGAAACAAACTCATTCTGTCAAACCCTTCGTCATAAGATAATCCCCTCACTCCAGGTATCAATCTAATAGTCAATCTGAGGGGAAATAGGAAAGACACTCAAGAAGGAAACATATTCAGGATTAGAGTAAGGATGAGCCTCCAAGGAAGTTTCACTCAGTGGGCTATAGAGGAAAGGAGGGAAGTGATGGAGACAAATGATCAGACGTTCTTGATTATCATGTCAAAGAAATCCACGTTAGAGGTGAGGGAAAGGAGATGACGTGGAGGTGGTTTATAGGGATAACTGGCAGCAGATAAAAGAACGTGGAATCCTGTGTGATCCTGGAATAATAAGCAGTTTTATACAAATGGGAGCACCATCTATCTTTTAAAAAAAAACCAAAAGAACTGAGCATGCTGTAAATCAGGAACATAAACAAAGTTGCTGGAAAAGCCCAGCAGGTCTGGCAGCATCTGTGAAGGAAAAACAGAGTTAACGTTTCGGGTCCGGTGACCCTTCCTCAGACTTCTGCAACGAAGTACATGCCACTAATCACTGAACATTTCCTTTGTTGTCCATTTTCAAGCTTTGTTTTCTTTCTCCCATATTCATTAACTTATTTTCTGCCTTCTATTTTCAGCTCTTCCTTTCTCCATTTTCAGGTTCTCGTTTCCTTTTCCATCTCTCAAACAGCTGAAATCCTCCTCTAGCAAACCTCCTGTAAGGACATTAGCCCTGCTACTGGTGATGCACAACATGTCTAGCTTGTTGAGATCTGACCTTCTCAAAACTCATCCTGATGACCCAGGAGTCAAAGGGCCTCCCTTCTTCGCCATCCCTCCAAGCACATATTCACCTTCATCATTCTCCTATCACTGTAGTATGTGCGATCAGGAATAATCCAGAAATTACCACTTTTTTGAGATTCTACATTTAAGACAATAGATCCCTATAATCTATCTGGAGGATCTCAAGCCCCAACCACCCTCTTTCTACCGAGTCATTGTTTTGATATGCAACATCACCTGGTGTTAACCTTTCACCTTCCGAATGCTCTCCAACCACTCAGTGGCATCCTTCACCCTTGTGCCAAGAAGTCAGCTACTGGTTTAGAATTTCTTGACACAGAAAGGCTGTCTGTTCCTCCAACGATTGAATGCCTAATCCGTATTGCTTTCCTGGCCTTTATCCTCCCCCGACCACTGTACCCCATAAGCCTCATATGGCTGAGCCACAATGGGACCAGGAGCTTTGCTCTGGTTGTAGTCCCATCAGTCCAAGAGGAACCTTCACTTTCACCACCATTCAGAACTGTATTCTAGCACTGCATAAAGGGGAGAATCTGTGAATTTTGATTCCATCGATCTCCGATTAGAAAAAGTCATGAAAATTGTAGTGCAGAAACCAACCCATTCATACAGCACATGAGCCTCCTCCCCTCCCTCTTCAGCTCTTTTCCTTTCTCCCTCATGTGTACAGTTGGCTTCACCTTAAATAAATCTCTTATTCACGTTCTTCGTGGGACTGAGTTCCATAGTTTTAATTCAATCTTGGCTAGGTCAGCATTTATTACCCAGCCCTAACTATGCTCAGAGGGCAGTTCAGACTCGGCCATGGGTCTGGGGTCACACATAGGCCAGACCTGGCAAGGACACCACATTTTCTTCCTGAAAGGACCTTAGTGAACCAGATGGGGTTTTTATGACAACTGACAAAGGTTGCATAGTTGCCATTATGCTTTTTTAATTCCAGATTTTTATCGGACTTGATGGAGTTTAGAGAAATGAGGGGAATCTGATTGAAAATTGAGAGGTCCTGATAGAGTGGAGATTTTTCCGCTGGTAGGCGAGACTAAGACCCAAGACCACAGCCTCAGAGTGATGGGACAGACTTGTAGAACTGAGATGAGGAGGAATTTCTTCAGCCAGAGGGTGGTGAATCTGTGGAACTCATTACCACAGGAGGCTGTGGAGGCCAAGTCGTTGAGTGTATTTCAAACAGAAATTGATAAGTTATTAATTATTAAGGGAATAAAGAGTTATAGGGAGAAGGCAGGAGAATTGGGTTGAGACATATATTAGCCAAAATTGAATGGTAGAGCAGACTCGATGGGCTGAATGGCATAATTCTGATCCTATATTTTATGATCTTATGGATTCACAGTTCACCAGCTGCTAGGATGGGATCTGAACCCATAATATTAGCCTGCAATTCTGGTTTAGTAGGCAAGACATTGCCATTATGCCACCATCTCCCTCATTCACTGCAGTAGCACTTTTTGGCTAAAGAGGTTTCTTGTGAATTCCCCGTATTTATGCCCCCTCCCCCTTCCAATTTTAACCTCCTAAGTAGTGGAAACAGCTTCTCTCCATTACCCTTTCAATCTCCATTAGGTCACCCTTCAGACTTCTCTTTTCTGATGAATATAACATTTCTACTGGTTTCTCTCATAACCTTAGGGGACATCGAGCATCCAAGATGCGTCGACCTCGGGATAGGACCCCCGAGTGCCGAAATTGGAGGGACATCTCAACAGGGAGCTCTATCAACAAGATTGAGAGCATTGAAACCAGCACAGAGATTCTGGAGGGGAGGAACAAGGTAGCCTGCTGTTCACCACCACTACTCATAGTTTTTCCTTCTATCAACGATAGCAACAACTTGTTTTTATGTTGTGCCTTCAATATAGTAAAACATACCAAGGTACTTCACAGCAGCGTAGCTTGTTGTTGAACATGAGGAGATAGTAGGGCAAGTGACCAAAAGGTTGGTCAAAGATAGGTGTGAAGGAGCATCATCAATGAGGGTTAGGCAGAGAATTCCAGAACTTAGGGCCTAGGGAGCTGAAGGTATGGCCACCAATGGTGCAGGATGAGAAGGAGGCCTGAAATAGAGGAATGAAGAGATCTCAGCAGGTGTGGGGCAGAAGGAGATTACAGAGATTGAGAAGGAACAGGGCTATGGAGGGATCTGAGAACTGGGAAGAAAACTTTGAGACTGAGTAGTTGGCAGTCTAGGAGCCATTGTATCTCAGCAAGCAATGAACAGGACTTGTTGTGGGTTTATGACACACCACTGGAGCAGGTGGGACTTGATCATAGGCCTCCTGGCTCAGAGGTAGGGACACTACACTTTGTGAAAACCAAAAGAGCTGCAGATGCTGGAAATCAGAAACAAAAAGCAGAAATTGCTGGAAAAAGTCAGCAGGTCTGGCAGCATCTGTGGAGAGAAACCAGAGTTAACATTTTGAGTCCAATGACCCTTCCTCAGAACTGATGGTAGCCAGGAAAATGTTTTTATTTTACAGAAAATGGGGGGAAGGAGATAAGAATTAAACAATAGGTGGAGATGAACCCAAAGAGAGAGAAGGACAGTTGGACAGACAAAGGAATGGGTAACGGCCAGCCAGGGAGAGTAAATAGCTACTAATGGGGACTATTAATGGCTAACAATGGATAGTGTGTGATAGCAGACCATATGATAATAAGGCCTTGTGTGTGGGGTTGGCATAAGGACATGGGAGAAGATGCCTCAAGCCCTAAAATTGTCGAACTCAATATTGAGTCCAGAAGGCTGTAGGGTTCCCAAGCGGAAAACAAGGTGACATTCTTCCAACTTGCGCTGAGCTTCACTGGAGGACTGCAGCAAGCCTGTGACAGAGATGTTGGCCAGGGAACAAGGCAGTGCGTTGAGGTGGCAGGCAACTGGAAGCTCAGTATTTGCTTCTTTTGCAAAACACTTTAAAACTGTGCCCTGTGCTTCTTGATCCTGTTATGAACAGGAACAGTTTCTCCCTATCTACTGTGTCCAGACACTTTATCAAATCACACCTCAGCCTTCGCCTCTCCAAACAAAACAGTTCCAACTGCTCCAATCTACTATCACAGCTGAAATATCTCATTCCTAGAATCAATTTCATAAGCCTATTCTGCACTCTCAATGATGCATTAACATATTTTTGGTGGCTCAGAGGTTAGCACTGCTGCCTCACAGTGCCAGGGACCTGGGTTCGATTCCAACCTCAGGTGACTGTCTTTGTGGAGTTTGGACATTCTCCCCATGTCTGCATGGGTTTCCTCCGGATGCTCTGGTTTCCTCCCACAGTCCAAAGATATGCAGGCTAGGTGGATTGGCCATGCTGAATTGCCCGTAGTGTTCAGGGATGTGTAGATTAGGTGGGTTACAGGGGGATGGGTCTGGGTGGGATGCTCTGAGGATCGGTGTGGACTTGTTGGGCCGAAAGGCCTGTTTCCACACTGTAGGGGTTCTATAATGCGGCACTCCCTCAGTACTGACCCTCTGACAGTGCGGCGCTCCCTCAGTACTGACCCTCTGACAGTGCAGCACTCCCTCAGTACTGACCCTCTGACAGTGCGGCACTCCCTCAGCACTGACCCTCTGACAGTGCAGCTCTCCCTCAGTACTGACCCTCTGAC